GGTTGGCTGTGATACTGACTCTTTGACCTTGGTTGGCTGTGATGGTGTCTCACTGACTTTGATTGACTACGATGCTGTCTTATTGACTTTGTATGGCTTTGATGCTTTCTCACTGAATTTGTTTGGCTGTGATACTGTCTCATTCACTTTGTTTGACTGTGATTTGTTTTAATGACATTGTTTGACCGTGATGCTATTTGTTGGCCTTGTTTGACTGTGATGCTATATTATTGACTTTGCTTTACTGCTTTTCTGTCTTATTGACGTTGTTTGACCTTGATGCTGCCATATGTACTTTGTTTGACTGTTGCTGCCATTTATACAAAAGCCGTTAGGTATTCATCACATTTGCACGAAACTTTATTCATTACCCCTTTCAAAACTTCATTCTATGTTCAATTTATCTTTGGAAACCACTGTTACAAACCCTCATTCAAACCAATACAAACTTACAGCTATCATTTCGGACATTGCAAGTCACAGACTTTTCAAACCAGTTCCCATTGGAAAAGATGAAAAAGAGAAAAGATCTTTTCTTAAACTTTCCTTTGCCAACAAAGGTCTCGATGGCGTCAACTTAGGCAATATTCTTCATCATAAATTAGTTCAGTCGAAAATACCTCCTTATTTCAAAGATCAGTCTGTACCAATAATTTCTTATACCTATACCAAACCAATTGCAACTAAAATTTTCAATTACAAACACGTTTTGCAGGATCTCAACATTGACGACTTCAAGTCTAAATCTCCTGATTGCACCTGTGCTAGTTCCCAATTTACATATAATCCGGCTGGCCACGTTATTACCGGAGACCTCAACATTGTCAATAACACTTCCCTGCGAAATTTGTTATCCAAAGGTCCGAAATATCGTGAGCCTAAATCCATCAATTGGAAATACAACTTCAAAATACTGATGGATTCAGTCGAGGATTATGCCAGGCAATGGGCTAAACGCGAGAAAGAAAAGGTAGATACTCTTTCCGAATGGATTAAGGCTGTGAGGTCGTTGATACAAATACGAATTAAGAAACTAAATGGGTCTATCAATACCCACGCTACGTCAATTTTTAAAGACCCAAATGTTGCAAAACACTTGTCCTACCTCCCTGACAAATATGTTGTTGTCCCCGCAGATAAAGCCCCAAACAACATCGTTTTTGTGTGTAAATATCATTACATAAACTGCTTGATACATGAATTAGGTATTGAAAATTCACTTGGAAACTCAACATATACCCTCACGACACTTACCAAAGAGGAAATCCTGGATAATCATAGGTCTGTTCTATGTTCCTTTGGAATTTCAACCAAAGATGAAGAACTGGATCTTCCATCACTGTATTGGATACCTAAACTACATAAGTGTCCTTACAAAAACAATATATTGCTGGGTCTCCACGAAACCTCTTTCCAAATTATTAACATCTATTTTATCAGCAATCAAAGCCGGGCTCCAAAGTTATTGTGAAACTGCCTATTCTAGAGGTGGCGTGAATCAGATGTGGATACTAAAAAATTCCAAAGATCTTTTAGAGTACATACAATCTAAGACTCTCATCTTGCAATAGTATTAAAACATTTGACTTTTCTACACTTTACACAAGTATTCCACATTCCAAACTAAAAGACAGATTGAAAGAGTTGGCATTACTTTGTTTCATTAAAAAGAATGGCGAACGTAGATACAAGTATCTTGTCTTGGGGAGGGATAAATCCTACTTTGTAAAGAATCACTCTGATTCAAACAAAAAATTCTCTGAAACTGACATTATCAAGATGCTTGATTTCTTGATTGACAACATATTTGTTACGTTTGGAGGACGTGTTTTTCAACAGACTGTCGGAATTCCAATGGGAACCAATTGTGCCCCTCTTCTTGCCGACTTGTTTCTTTATTATTATGAGACTGACTTCATACAGGAACTTCTTAGGAAGAAAGATAAGAAGTTAGCAATATCCTTTAACTTTACGTTTCGCTATATAGATGATGTTCTCTCACTAAATAATACAAACTTTGGTGACTATGTTGAACGAATCTATCCCATCGAACTAGAGATAAAGGATACTACAGATACAGTTAAGTCTGCCTCATATCTTGACTTACATCTAGAAATTGACAATGAGGGTCGGTTGAAAACAAAACTTTACGACAAAAGAGATGATTTCAGCTTCCCAATTGTGAACTTTCCATTTCTATGTAGCAACATTCCAGCAGCGCCTGCATACTGAGTATATATCTCCCAATTGATACGATATTCCCGGGCTTGTATTTCCTATCATAATTTCCTTGATAGAGGATTGATGCTCACATAGAAGCTATTAAACCAAGAGTTCCAAATGGTGAAGTTGAAATCATCCCTTCGTAAATTTTACGGACGCCATCACGAGTTGGTTGACCGTTATGTCGTTACTACAATACCCTTCCCTTTTCACGAATGTGACCTACCGAATTAGACTATTAACCGGATTTGTAATAACATAAGCAACACGACGGGTGCCACATGTGGAGCAGGATCTGCTTACCCTTCCGGAGCACCTGAGATCATCCCCAGTTTTTTGTGGGGTTCGTGTTGCTTAGTCTTTAGTTTTCTATGTTGTGTCATCTGTACTATTATTTGTCTGTTTGTCTTTTTTTTTTTTTTTTTTTTGGCCATGGTGTTGTCAGTTTATTTTCGATCTATGAGTTTGATTGTCCCTCTGGTATCTTTCGACCCTCTTTTATGCTGTCTTATTGGCTTTGTTTTACTGCTTTTCTGTCTTATTGACGTCGTTTGACTGTGATTTGTCTTAATGACATTGTTTGACCCTGCTGCTGTCCTTTTGGCTTTGTTTGACCGTTATTTTGTATTATTGACTTTTTTGGCTGTGATGCTGTCTCATTGGCTTTGTTTGACAGTGATGCTGTTTTATTGACTTTTTTTTACTGTGATTTTGTATTATTGACTTTTTTGGCTGTGATGATGTCTCATTGACTTTGTTTGACTGTTATTTGTCTTAATGACATTGTTTGAATGTGATGCTTTTTTATTGGCTTTATTTGGCTATGATTCTGTCATATTGCCTTTGTTTGACTGTGATTCTGTATGGATGTGATGCTGTTTCATTGACTTTTTATTAATGTGATTTTGTCTTATTGACTTTGTGTGACTGTGATGGTGTTTCACTGTCGTTGTTTGGCTGTGCCTTATTGACAAGAACCACTATCTCCTTTTATTAGTATATTTAGCTTTTCTTTTCTGTCTTCTTATACATTAATCGGTTATAAAAGAGAGGCGAAAGATACCAAAGGGACATTCAAACTCATAAGTCGAAAATAAACTGACAACGCCATGGCTAAAAAAGAAAAATACCAACAGATAAACAATAGTACACAAAACTCAACATAGAAAACTAAAGACTGAGCAATACGAACCCCTCCAAAAACTGGGGGTGATCTCAGGTGCTCCGGAAGGGTAAGCAGATCCTGCTCCACATGTGGCACCCGTCGTGTTGCTCATGTTTGTACAAACCCGGTAATAAGTCTAATTCGGTAGGTTACATTCGTGGAAAAGGGGACGGGATTGTAGTTACGACATTTGGAACATATCCGCTATAATCTGTGAAACGGATATTCAATAACGGTCAACCAACTCGTCATGGCGTCCGTAAAATTTACGAAGGGACGATTTCAACTTCACCATTTGGAACTCTTGGTTTAATAGCATCTATGTGAGCAGTAACTCTCTATCAAGGAAATCTTGTTAGGAAATACAAGCTCTGGAATATCGTATCAACTGGGAGATATATACTCCGTATGCAGGCGCTGTTGGAATGTTGCTACATAGATATGGAAAGTTCACAATCGGGAAGCTGAAATCATCTCTTTTGTCGTAAAGTTTTGTTTTCAACCGACCCTCATTGTCAATTTTTAGATGTAAGTCAAGATATGAGGCAGACTTAACTGTATCTGTTGTATCCTTTATCTCAACTTCGATGGGATAGATGCGTTCAACATAGTCACCAAATTTTGAATTATTTAGTGAGAGAATATCATCTATATATCGTAAAGTAAAGTTAAAGGATACTGCTAACTTCTTTTCTTTCTTCCTAAGAAGTTCCTCTATGAAGTCAGCCTCATATGAATAAAGGAACAAGTCGGCAAGAAGAGGGGAACAGTTGGTTCCCATTGGAATGCCGATTGTTTGTTGTCAATCAAGAAATCAAGCATCTTGATAATGTCAGTTTCAGAGAATTTTTTGTTTGAATCAGAGTGATTTTTTTCAAAGTAGATTTATCCCTCCCTAAGACAATATACTTGTATCTACGTTGGCCATTATTTTTTATGAAATAAAGCAGGACAAATCAACAAATAAGAAAACAATAATGGCTTATATTTTCAATCACTAGGTTACAGGAATATTTTACCACTACTTCTATCTAACATTTTCTGCAAGGTTCATCTTGTCATAACTCTTTGGACCAAAAAGGGCTTCAGGTTTCCTTCGATCAAAAGTTCCAAAAAATTGTGATAGTATAACAATGTGTTTTTTTTTTAATTTGCTACCTTGCATTTTATGTGACTTAATCAAACATAGTAGTGTCGCTTTTATCAGTTTTGGTAATGCTTCGTCTTATTAAGTCAGGAAATAGGAACATACGCTTTCAACTATTAGTGACACTCCAGGCAATAGGAAAGTTGCTTGCAAATTGATCAACGTGTAAATGAAATACAATCTATATATTTTTTTTTTATCTATCTTTAAAGTTGACCACCATCAGCGAATGGTAGATATTCATTCATATTTTAACACTGTGTTGTCGTGATATTGGATGAGTTTGAACAATAAATTAAGCAAAGGCTCTATTTAATATTCAATAATTTTATTCCAATTAAAGAGGTAGTCTAATTCCGAACCCTTATTATACAATATGGGCATTGGTATTTTATCAAAACTGTATTATTTATTGCATGGATAGATTGGAACAACCAACAGATATGATGCTTTAGCAAGTGCACATGATGGGGGAGCCATTGCATCGGCACATTTTGGACCAAACTTTCCCGGATGGCATCGGGAATACCTCAAACTGTAAGTAAATGAATATATAAAATACTTAACTTTGAATTCCTCATTTGCATAGCTGGTAGCAATAGAAATGTACGGACATAATTTAAGCTCGCATAGTAAAAAAGGTCGAGGTGAGCAATTACCATCTGTTTGCTTCGCTATCCATCTTTTTCCTCCGTTAATTTGTTTAAATATCTGTTGTTATATGTTTTTTTCTATTAAAACTTAGCGACAATCCTTCCGCGTGTCTTGCGAAATTTTAATCCTGCATTCAGCCAACTATTGTACAATTACCAGGTATTCAAATACTGTCTTGCTACATTTTTACTAGTACGTATACATATACGTCATAGTTCATTTCACTGTTCTCATCGTGGTCTGCGTTTTAACCATGTCTATTGGCAATAAAAATCTGTTGGACATCAGTATTTATATTTTTGAATTTTGTCTTACATATTGGCATAAGGGCTTCAAATTTCTTACATCAAGTGCAAAACAGAAAAAAATGCCATACTAGCCTTATTTTGAGATCTTGTCATTACTATTAAAAAATGAGCAACAACTTTACCAAAAAAGATATTTTGCTACAAAATTTATTTTAGAAAGATGCTAATGTGTGTAAAATATCTTTAGATATAGACTACATTTTGAAAAAAACTACTTGGTTTATTCATCGACAATAACCTAAATTGAAATGAGCAAATAGATAAAATGTCATGTACAATATCAAGTAGAATCGACTTATTACAAAAGATACGAAAGTACTTACCTACGCATATACGTATTATTTATTTTATTGCTTATGTTCTGCCATTGTTTGATTATTGTTGCAATATATGGGGTAGTTGCAATGAAAATTGAATAAATAAACTTATTAGAGAAATCTGCTAGAGTTATAGTAGAAGCTGACATAATGACATTCTCCACTTTGTTGTTTAATAGTTTAAAATGGTTGAATGTGGAAAAACGAATTCAATATCAAAAGGCAATATTTGTATTTAAATCATTAAAGGATATGGTTCCTAACTATTTACGAGAAAACTTTCATTAAACTGACAATCAAAATTATAATTTACGTTTAGCTGATGAAAAACTATTGAAACTTCCGAAGCTAAACAATTTTTTCTAAGAAAACATTTATATATTCTGGATCTCAATATGGAACAGTTTACCAAAATGAAATAAAGATGAGTAATACACCTGTATCTTTTAAAGCAAAATGTTACAATTTTTTTCATGAAGAAGGCAAATTAATATGTTTTTTTCATTAATATCTATATAAAATTGTATATTGTGTATATATCATTATAATATTGTATCTACTTTATGTATATGTTATTATTATTTTGAGGACTCTCAGAAAGATTAGTTTTCACTAATGGGATCATCCTCTTGAAAGAAAGATTATTCATATATTTATTTCGGGGCTGTTACTCATACATATTTTGATAAACAAAAAACTATGCCTGAAATGGCCATTTCAGGTCAATTAAGTAAATATCGACATGTTTATGACGTCACCAGTAACCTTTCAGCACTAAAGTGTCAAAATAGACGATTTTCAAATGACCAATATGCATTTTATTGGATTCATAAAGGCTTCCTGTGGACTCTAGCTTGTTCATAATCAATATTACTAGTCGGTCTTTTTTGTAGAAGATTAACTTGTTTTCAGACATTGATCCATGTTATCTTCCCGTTTGAAGACAATGACATTAATTAACCGTTGTGAGACAATTGAATTCGTGCTAAGTGCTAATTCTCATCTTTTTCAGATTTGAAGCTGCTCTACAGGAAATTGATAATCAAGTGACCTTGCCATTTTTTGATAGTAGATTGGATTATAACTTGTTTGACCCAAGGGAATCAAATTTTTGGGGCGAAAATTTCATGGGTGATCACCAAGGTGTGGTATCAAGAGGGCCATTTAAACTTTGGCGTCAGCGTAATGGTGCATTTTTAGAAAGAAATGGTGGAGCATCTGGTTCAATGATTTCACCAAGTGGGATAAGAAATGTGCTATCCAAAAGAAGAAATATCGATATTTTGGCACCTTGGGCAAATGAAAGACTTGGTCTTGAAAACTACCATAATGCGTACGTATGAGAAAACTTACACAATTTCATCTCAAAACTAAAGATTTTTAAATCAAATAAGATGGCAATTTTCAAAATAAAGGAATAAATGCGTTTTGTTTCAGAACAACACACAGCAGAATGTTCATGTAATTTTTGGAACGGGGACTCAAATACTGGAAGTTTTTAAAATTATCAACAACAAAAGCCTTTTCATGAAGAAACTTCCATATTATCAGTAGTCACAAATTACATTGATTTACAGAGAATCAAAAATAAATTAAATAATATCTTTTTGAGCCAATGTGTCGATCCTTTTTATCCAAGAATGCCAGAAAGGAATGTCCCAGTGATTTTTAAATTCTCAGTTTTATGATAATGTCCTTTGTTTTTAGAGAGTCGTATTTTTGCCAGATGATTATAAATGAGATATATATTTTAATGAAACAGAATTTCGCAAATGTAGTGTATACAAGGACACCTGGTAGATAAAAGCTGACTTTTTATTGTCAACTGATAAAGTAAATGCTGATCATTTCTTATGTTGAAAGTCAGAGGAGGATCAAGGGTGTGTCACTGGACGCACGTGACACACCTTGATGTTGGCAAAATGGTGCACCATAGAGTGTGAGGTTGTGCACGATGTTGTTACTAGTGAGCGTACACGACGTTCCCTATAATTAGAGGATTTTGACGTTGTTCCAAAGAACGTTTCGAGCGTTCAAGCTTATATTCAATAAGCTTAATAAATTGACTGTAATGAATTCGTAACCTAATTTCGGTTTGTCGAAAACATGCATAGTTTTTTTCTAATGAAACTTAAAGTGGTCCCACATATTTTTTTGATTGAATATTCATTTACAGAAATTGTCAGTCTTCCAGTTCCATAATTGAACATTTTCCTTTTTCCAAAAGCATATTTGTTTTTAATATAAATTAGATATTGAATTGATTTTGCAATCAAAAGTATTGATTAATTTACCAATTAGTCTATTACTTGTAATCAACAAGAGAGCATGACCAACCAAACATCATTCTTAGAATTATCTGCACGATGGAATGTAACCAGTTGCAAATGTAAACGTACAAAAAGGCAGCTGGGCTTACTGAGAATGTTTTATGAGTATCAATGGGTTAGAAAACTAGCTTGATTAGCACTGATGTATACGGAAACCGGTTAGTGTCAGGGAGTAGTTTCATTTTAAGTCGTTATAAAGACTTAGCTAACTCGTTATCACGACTAATCTTACTCGTTATAACGACTTAGTTACTCGTTATAACGACTAAGCTAACTCGTTATCATGACTTAGTTAATCGTTAAAACGACTTAGCTAACTCGTTTTAACGACTTAGCTAACTCGTTATAACGACTGATATAACTCGTTATAACGAGTAAGCTAAGTCGAGCATTTGATATTCTGGGGAAAAGAATTGTTATAATGTTCTGGCCTTATAGCAAGAACTGAAAATGAATAACCTTGCCCAAAGTAGAATGCAAATGAATATTTTACCAAACTTAATGCAGGCTAGAATAATGTGTATTGCTAATCACGGTGCTTAAAGCTGTGTTGAATAATTACATTAAATTTAGATATAATAATTGCATGATTACAATGATTCTTAATAATAATAATAGCAAAACATAAATTTGTAAATTACCAAAATAAATATAAAGCAACTTTATTCTAATCAGCAGTCAAATCTAACTGGTGCCTTTATATATATATATTAAGTCCAGTGACCAAGTTCCATAAAACTGACGATATGGACCTATCCCAACTGCCACTTCTATCTATAATTGTGATAAAGTGTCACTATACTTCGATTTTAAAAACTACCAATCAACCATGAAACTTGTAATAACCCTTGTCTTTTTAAAAATAGTTAGACAAGATAACGGTTTAAAAAAGCTCAAGAGCCAGAGAAATTTAGATTTATCAGTAAATGCCTTTAAATTTGGCACCTGGCTCTTACAGTTCTACATTATCTAAAAACTGCTTGTGCTCTTTTATGAATTTAGAACATTTAAGTAAAAAATGTATTTCATCTTCAATGTCATATTTGCAATTGTACATCTTCCAACTTCTATTTCTAATTAATGAGCACTTAGAATCTATAAATCTATAAATGTGTACACAAGCAAAAAAAATCAAGGTCAAGATATAAAGAAGGAGATGGGGGTAATAAAGTGAAAGGAAAAAAGTTCACATAACGAAATATTTTCAGGATGTCATTTATCACGACTAAGCTAATTAAGTCGCTAAAACGAGATAGCTAATTCGTTATAAAAAGTTACTAAGTCGTTATAACGAGTAACTAAGTCGTTATAACAAGTAACTCAGTCGGTATAACGAGTTATTAAGCCGTCATAACGACTTAGAATAAAACTACCCTGACCCTTACCGGCTTCCGTAGATATACGTGCATTATGATTCAAACTCGATGAGATCGTTGACACTTCCACTGACAGACATCCAAGAAAAATGAAATCGGAATCAATGTCATATATCATGTTTAACCATTTGCTTTACAAAATACCTTTATGACCAATATTAAACATTTTGAAAGTTCGTATTGGTTTCTGGATCAGCCGGTGAAAGTTGTGAGTGAACTATTTTCAAGTTTGATTGCTGTATTCTGTTTGCCAATGACTCAATTTTGTTAGTCTTAGGTCTATTCTATTATTACTTCAGAACGTTGTCGTGCGTGATTGTTTGGATGATTTTGTTTTTGGACACCTCAGGAAATAAGATCGAATAAAAAAAAACATTTTTTTACAATTTTAATGGGATATTGTTCCGAGATGAAAATCATTTAAAGATGCTTAATTTTTTAGTATATATAGGTAGATTAAATCGGCTCTGCTTAATGTATTCTCTTCTTTTCAAGACTCGGTTTTAGATTTATTCCTAAACACACTGTTTATTGACATTTATCTATGGTTAA